CATTCTCTAGTTTCCCCGGGCTCCTTTCTCTTGGTTCCTTGGGCCAGAAAGATAATGGGCTTTCTATGTGAGTTTTTGTCACCCCCACTGCACCACAATTTTAGTCTATTTATAGGTCAAAGCCACCAAAAGTGAAAAATAATTTTGTGTTGGTAACTTCCTCCACATTTTGACTCTGCTTGCTTCTGTTTACTCTTTTGATCCCTCGGGTAGTTGTTTATTTTTTTTGTTTGTTTGTTTTTTGTATTTTGTCTAGAGCATGCAGTTGTTATCTGTGGAAAGGTCAGTCTGTTAGGAACTTACTTTTCCATTCTAAAAATCAAAGTAATCAAATCAAATCAAAGTAATCAAAAAATTAAATTTTTGGACAGAAATAATTATAAGGTTTATGCAAGCTTGATCTTTCCAAGGATTATGTTTTTGGCATACATATATTAAAAACTTGTCCATTCATAACTCATTATTTTGTTATCTCGAAAGAGGTTTATTTGTCCATTCATAACTCATTATTTTGTTACTTGTCCATTCATAACTCATTATTTTGTTATCTCGAAAGAGGTTTATTTCAAAACCAACCAAAACAAGATCTCCTGCAACTTACCAGAGTAGGATTTATGAAAGCAGGTAAAGTGGTCATGCAAATCTTAAAGAATGGTTATGGTGGGCTGGATTGTTTTCAAAGGGAGCTGGAGAGGTTGCTAACTTTGCTGCTTATGCATTTGGATCAGTCACCAGAGGGCCTCCATTAGGAGCTCTCATTGTCCTCTTCAAGATCTACAGTTATACTCATTCATGCTTCAAAGGAAGAGGACACAGAGACATTAAATACAATATCTTACAGGTGAGTTAATCCACATTTTGCGGTTTTTGTAATAATTATGGTCATTGTAGCCCTGACACTAATCTTTTTGTTAGGACCTCACCATGAAAACAGACATTCTTGTTATATAACCATCTGCTTTGTAAGTGGAGTGCTTTTGTTTGGCTATGTTAAAGAACAGGGCATTGCTTTAAAGAACTTTCTGCTGGAAAGCCTCAGGACATCCCATGGCCTGGATTCTGCTGCTAAGCCTCATAGTTTGTGTAAGCACACAGATTATCTAATCAGGGTCCTGGACATATCGAACCCTTATATATATATTGAAACTCCAGTGGATTATGTATTTCTTACACAGTTTTAATTTGCTCATCTCTTCTTCTAAAGGAGGGGCAAGATATGCCTTTTGATGGCATCACTGATGCTTTGAATGGCTTTCTTAAAATTATGTGAGAATGTCATGACTGCATGCCTTTAAAGATAACCATTTAGTGTGGCAAGACTGCCCAGGTCATTTTGATAAGATGAAAAAGCAATGAATGTACTCTCCCCAGTATTCTTAATATCACTGATATTCTTAACAGTAATGTATAAAGTTTAACCTGGGAAATTAAACAGCTAACTGGCGACTCTCAAAGAAATGGGGATCTTTAAGAAACAAATTGAATTAAAATGTTATTCGTAATTGTTTCAAAACGAGTTTGAATTTTAGAATGTGTCTGAAAATGACATTGTCCTCTGAAATGATATGCTCTAGAGACAATCTTTTTAAAGATTTCACTAATGTGGATCAGGAAAAATTTTCTTATATTTAAATTACAACAGTTAACTAAAATGACCTCGATGTGTGGCTAGTTTGTATTTTTATTAACATTGTATTATTGTATATGAATTTTAAGTCCTGCTTCCTCCATAAAGAACTTATGTATTAATGTCAAATTTCAATTGAAAAATTAAATGCCCAATTTCATTATTTAAAAAAAGTTTGTTCCTTTATTCTAATTCAGATCATCTAACAGCCTTCGATAAGCTGATAGGCAACAAATTTATAGATCCAAATCAGTGCTATTCAAATTGTAATCTGCCAACCAGTGCCTGCCTGTACATGAACTATTTGTTGCCTTGTCCATGATGAGGACAGAATTGAGAATACATGTTTGAAACTTTCATGAAACTTATGTAATCATTTTATAACTGTTAAATATAAGAAAAAAATGTTTGGCCTTTTATTTGCATACCTTGGTTTTTCTTAAACTTCATTTTTTCTAGCAATTAATTTTTCTTATATAATTTTAAAAAACCATTGGTTGGTAATGGTTTGGAAATTAAAAATGAAACACTGGTTTTCTCCACACAGAATTTGAGAAACACTGATCTAGGTTTCAAATAATAACTTTGAGAAGTTCTCAAGTTAACCATTTAATAGAAGAAATGAGGCTAGACTGTAATTTGATTATAGCTATAGTTCCTGAATGACCTGGATAGTTTAACATGTCCTTTGAAAAGACGAGAAAACTCAGGTATAGAAAGTTTTAATCAAGTTTATTTCTTTTGGATATTTGTGTGTGTCTGTTTGTGTACATACACATATATATATATGACATAGCAGCCAACATGTCAGAAAAAGAATTCAGCTACTTTAACTTGCAGCTGACATTAAAGTATTCTTTGTTGTTCAATCTAAGAAGTTACTGTTTTACCACTTAGAAGTAAAACAGTAAGTTCAGAGGAAGAACAAACAATAGCAACAGACTTACTTACTGAGAGCCCACTGTGCAAGCAACTATGTAGAGAAAAGCAACCCATTGAGTGGGTATTTTTATTTCCAGTTTAGAGATCAGAAAACTGACCGGAGAAGTAAATTAATCATAATCATAGAGCAAGTAAGTTGATAGAAGCGGGATTCCAATTCAGTTTTGTTTGGTTCAGAAGCCTCTACATTTACCATCAGTGTTCTTTATTAAATAATCACCAGATAGGCCCACACACAAATTATTATATCAGGAAGATGGTTTCAAGTGCTCTATTAATATAGTCCTAGAAAATAACTGAGTTTCCCATTCAAGGATTCATCAGTCTTCACCAAAGTTAGCTTGGAAAACCTATGTTAAAGTATGAAGTGACAGTGAGTCAGCATTTTGGAAGGCAGGTAGGGATGAGGAAGCAATGAGCGAATTCTTTCGGGAATCACTGTAGATGTTTATGCTGGGTGTTTCTGACTACCTACTCTCTTTGACTATCATAGGAGTATAGTTAAGGTCTCTTTGAAGATTGTAGAAATTAAAAACATCAGTTGCCATTCTGTCCTTGCCAAGTTGGAGAATGGGACAGAAAGGCTAAGTGCTTTGTACTTAAACACATATGAATTCATTGTAATAAGTGTTCTAGCTTATACTAGGCTAGCTTGTTTTTGGGGGGAATATACTTGCAAGTTAGTATTTCACTGGCTCTATACTTTAAGATTTTCTTAAAAACATCAGGTGTCAGTATAAACTAAATTTAGTTTAAATCAACATAATTCTATTTATCCTAGCAAAGTGTTTTTATTTTTTAAACAACTAATTTTTTTTACAGAAATAATTTTTGCACATTTTATACACCATACATGAGATGGTTAGGACTCAGTCTCAATCCAAAAAAATGCCTTTATGGTATCCTCTCTGTCCCGTCTGTGTCCTGTGTAATAGAAAATTGCCAACAGAAGCATTTCCTCTTCTCCCAGTTCCTGTTCTCTTATCACAATCCCATACTCTCCCTTCCTGTTCTGCAGGGGAATTTGAGAGGGCAGGGAAAGATTGCTAAAAGTATGCTCTATCTCCCAGCGGTCCCCAAACTTTTTGGCACCAGGGACTGGTGCTCCTATGAGAATCTAATGCCTAATGATCTGAAGTGGAGCTGAGGCGATGATGCTAACGCTGGGGAGCAGCTGCCAATACAGATGAAGCTTCACTGGCTCACCTGCTGCTCACCTCCTGCCGTGTGGCTCAGCTCCTAACAGGCCACAGACCAGTACCTGTCCGCAGCCCGGGGGTTGGGGACGCCTGCTCTATCCAACACCACCACATCCAATAATATATGGGTCTAATTCTTTTACATATTTACCAGTTCCCTTCCAATTTCCTCTTCTTTGCATCTTTGTGTGGACAATAGATTAATGCCAAAGTGCTTATTCCCTACAGATACTTCCAGACCAGGCAGACTTCAATCAAGGTCACAGTAGAACTGAACGTTTCAGCTTCTTTTCCAGTGCCTTTTCTACAATGTTGGGTCAGGGATGGAATGGAAATAGAATGAAGAGCATTAATTTTTTTTTCCAATTTGTCCTACACTTTCCCCATCACCATTCCCATGTCAATCACTTCTTATTTCTTTCCCAACATTCCTGTATCTTTCCCTCCTACAGATACCACTTATTGAAGTTGTGTTAGAAACTGTTTATATATAGTCCATTCCAACAACTCTAATAAAGTAGGTAGTAGCACTAATAGCTAACATTTGAGTGCTTACTATGTGCCAAGCGTTGTTTTAAACATTCTAGATGTATTAACTAATCTAATCTGTGAAGCAACAATTATTCTTCCTATTTTACAGATAAGGAAGCTGATGTTCAATGCCCTGATTACACTGCAAGTAACTGGCAGAGGCAGGATTTGAATTTACGTATGATTGGCTCTAAAACAACCTTTAATCATTATTTAACTAATAATTATCTGATCATTATTTCGGCGCCCAATTTGGTGAACATTTTGCCATCTCATGGCTATCCTCATCCTTTACCTGCCGCAATGTTCTCTTCTTCCCTTCCTGACCCTCCCCCGCCGCGCCCACCCAAGGTCCTTTCTGCTCCTTATCCTATCGGTCTCCCACATTCCTTTATTACGCTGTCTTCTCACTTTCTTTGATCCCCACATTCCTCTCAATTTTATCCCCGTCCCTCAGATCCTTGTCTTTCTTTTCTTAGGACCGCCGTTCATAGAATTCCCTTAGTCCTCTATTTCTAAAATTCCTCTCCTTTTTTTAGGCTAGTCTTCCCTCCCACCTCAAGGGACTCTTGCATCCCGGGAGCTGTCACCTCCCTTTCCCAGCGCCCAGAGGCCGCGCGTCGCGGCCGGCGGCGGAGGGGCGCCGCAGGGTCCTCCCGCTCTCCAGCAGCCCCTGGGCGCGGTGCAGTCTGGGGGAACATGGCCGCTTCCGGTCTCCCTCCCGGGCCGGCGCTGGCCTGACCGCGGCCCCTGTCCGGCGCACTCCGCCCTCCGCTCCTCCCGCCCGGCAGCCGCGGAGGTCGCTTCAGCCTTTCTGTCCCGCTGTCCCCGCCGCGCCATGGAGAAGAGCTCGAGCTGCGAGAGTCTTGACTCCCAGCCGGCGGCAGCACGGCCGCCCAGCGTGGATTCCCTGTCCAGGTAACCTGGACGCCCAGGGCCCCGCCCAGCGTCCGAGGGGGTGAGAGGGCCGGGGACTCGGTGGATGGCGCCCCAACTCGCGGACTCTGGTTCTCGAAGGCTGCGTCGGAATTCCTTCCCTGACACTTGAGAGGCACTTCTTCCTCCTTCTCTGGGGCTTAGAGGCTGGGAAAAAGGTGGTTAAAACTCACTGCTTCTTTATCGCCCGGGGCTCTCTCTTGTATTCCGATCTAGTTTTATCCTCGGTAAAGGTAGCCCCAGTTCATTAGTTTTCCTGATATCTCATTTCCTCTCAAATCATTTTTTTT